CCACAGAGCCATGAAGACTGCTGGCTCCCTTAAGGGAGCCAGCATTTTACTTTCAGTAAGTCGGGGGGAGGGTCTGCAGCAAGGTAGCCAAAATCATGGAGCCTGCCCAATTTTGCATTTTTTGTGAAAAATCACACAATTGTGAATTTGGTAGGTCCTTATTTATCATCCTTTATCCTATATTTGAACTACCATTCTTTTAATAAGAATGTGCAAGGCTGACCCATACAATGATCATTCTTAAATTTAGCATAAAATTTGGGCTTCCATACTACTTTATTTACTTCCACTATGTCAACTGCTGGTAAGCATTGATAAGCTCTGAAGTCTCAGACACAGCTAGAGAATGGTGACTTTTTAATAGCAATCATTAAATTTATCTAGTTCCCATTGTTATGGCACATGGACATCTTAATCTTAAAACAAAACTAGGGTAGGCAAAATGACCATAGATCTACCATGGTTTTTATTTTAGGACATTTTCCAGGTCTTTAAACTCCAAAATCATGGTCACTGGCAGTTTACCAGAATTAGTAAGCTTCCCTGCTTTCAGCTTCAATGCTTCCTTGCCATCTGAAGATGGCTCATTAGCAAAGATATTCTCACAGGTCTCAACTGATAGACAGACAGATGTAATACAGAAATGGCTACCTCAGAGAAGTCATCATTATCTCTAGCGCTGTCCTAGTGAGTATTTTACCTTTGATAAACCTTTAGTATTCACATTTCTATGGTAAAGGAAGTACAAAGGGCATGATTTGCCATATATCTTATTTAACATAGGTAAATCAGTCAGTTTCCAGTAGTCAGCCCTAACTTTTCCATTAGGCTAGGGACAGACATTACAGATAAACTGGGTTAAGTGATCAGAAACTAGTTTAAACCTGTAACAGAACAGATGTTCAGTGTATATAAACCAGTTTGAAAATGGCTGAAATTGGTTTGAGATAAACTTGGTTGAATGTAGTAGTATCAGACTTAACTGATTTGGCTCAAACTCATTTATTCAATGTCTGTCCCAGACCTCTTGCTGGTTTAAGCTAAACCAGACACCCCCAGCATCCCGGCATGCTCACAGGGCTGGGCAGGGATCTCTGCTCCACAGCAGAGCTGACCCCTCCCCTCTGCTCCTGGGCTGGAACTCTGGCACAGACTGCAGACACAGCAGGGCCTGCCTAGCTTCCCTCTGCCCTACCCTGCCTCGCTGCTCACTGCTTAAGCAGGAATCCTCTCCCCTCCCATTTTCCACAGCCCCATGGCCCCTAGGCATGTGGTATGCTAGCTAATGCTGAGAGGTATCTGTGTGCGTCTCTCCAATTTCACTGGGACAGGCAGACACAACAATGACTGCTTGGGGCTATTTGGAGCTAAGCAACAGGTCAGCCGGTAAGCTGTTTAATAGAAGTTTAAAGTAATGGAGAGAGCCTACTGTTTTGCTGATGAGGTGATAATCACTGTTACCAGTCTCCTGCTGGCTTGCTCACCTGTCAGTTTGCTGCAGACAGTACAAAGCAGCAGCAAAAGGGAGATTGAAAAGTTCCGTATCATCAGCAGATGCACGCACTGCATACCCCTCTTGCCTCAGAGTGCTAGCCAGGGCCTGGAGTCTGGCAACACCCCTGCCCCTTGAGCAGCCAGCGGTAAAAAGCCTGGGACTGTACAGGCAATGCATCTGCAGGACCTCCCTAATCAGAGGTCCTGTGGGAGCTTGGCCATGCCCCCACCCCTTTGCTCAGTACTGTACAAGGGAAGGGAGGGCTGCTGTAGTGCCCCCTGGCTTCTAGCCTGAGCCACTGCAAGCATGTTCCTGAATTTCCTCAGGCCAGAGAGAATGTCTGTCCAGTTACAAACTGGTTCATCCTAGCCAGATTAGACTAACCTGCAAAGATTGAATAAATTCCAGCTCACAAACACCAGTGCTTCACAAATGTCATACAAGCCTCCATACCCCTGGGAGGCTCGTATTACTACAGCCATCCTCCAAACTTAGAGCAAGAGCTTAAAGAAAGAGCATTAATTGCTCAAGTCACTGACAGAACTTGTAACAGAACTCAGAGATCCACTACTCTATCTGTCACTGAAAATCCACAAACACAGGGTAAGTTGTTTTCATGCACAAGCTACAGAGTGTAAAACACAGCCTACACAAAATGCAGGGAGGCAGTGTAAGACAGAGTGGATGGGGAGGAAAGAGGTATAACTTAGGCCACGTGTAAACAAAACACGAGGCCTGTGTGCACGACACTTTAAAGCGGGCTAAATGCTTTTGCATTTTAATGGTGTCAGTGTTTGCACACTTTGGCGGTGTACTGAGCATTAATTCAAGCTGCTGTAGGAAATTTGGTGGCGTAACGTCCCTTAAATGACTTGGGGCACAGCAAACTAAAACTACTCTAAGGAGTTTTAGTTTGCTGCCCCTACAGCTGTGGAGCGAAGCACTGGGCTCCATGCAGCTCCACGGCTCTGCAGGAAGCCCTGCAGACAGCCTGGCAGCAGCCCGGGAAATCAGGCTCCACCCAAGGAAAGCAGGAAGCCTGCCTGCCTGCCCCCTCTCCCTGGAGCCTGCCTGCCTGAGTTGTACGGGGGCCCAGTTCTTCCCTCCATGGCTGCGGTGGCCCCCGGAACCACCTGATCCAGGTGCCTAAGAGCGGGTGCCACCTGGGGGGGCGCGGCGGGTGTTGCTGCCACAGAAGGAAGCACCAGCCTCCTCCCCTCCCTGCCGGAGAGGCAGGTAAATCAGTGGTGTGTGCGCACAACCCAGGGGTTTAAATCAGCCCTAAATTGAAGTAGTGTTTTTTTTTAAATCCACCACTTCAATTTAAGACCCCCATTTAATCTACACATACCCTAAAATATGCTTGAAGTTGTAGGAAGAAGAAGATACCTTTGGGATGCAATTACAAATTTAGTTCCTATTCTCAGTTTCATCACTTAGTTTGAGTAACAACCTGAAGTCACTTTAAGGTGTCTACTGAATTTCTTTTGTAGATATTAGTTACTATATCTCACATGATGAAGCACATGTTTATAGACAAAGCGCTAAAAGAAAATACCAAGTATTAAAGTGACTATGAATCATTGGTCTAAGCCTTTAGATTATTTCTGACAGAATAGAAAGAATCTAGTCAGTCTTGCTACAAAGCTAATCTCCACATCTCTTTCACTTTTTAATCTTGTTAATACAGGCAGATGCAAGGATAAGAATTAGGCTGACTGGAGTACTGTCAGTCACAACTACCCTACCGGCTAGGAATGCCAGGATTTGAGAAGAGGAGAAAGAATAGGATTATAAAATAACAAAACAGCATAAAAAGAAGGATCTACAGAAGTCAAACTTACAGAAGTGACACAATGGCTTTGGGCCACAAGGCTTAGCGGGGAAGTGAAAAATTGTGCCTCTGGGGAAAGGAGAAGAAAGGAAAACACAGGTGTGGAAACCTTTGAGTCTTCTTGCAAAGGAAACAACTACCTTATCTTTCAGGTCCAAAGAGAGCTTTTGCATGAGAAGTTTCCAAGGAGTGAGAAGAATTATTTCTACATCAATTTTTGGGTTGGTTGCAGATGCTACCACCAATGGCATCTTATCTTTGTGAAAGCAGGCCCAATTCAGGAAGCTCCTCTGTCACAATTTATCCAATTGCTATTTTTTTCCTTCAGGTGTTACCTCCTCCTGGGAGTTAGTTACCAGGAACATTCATACAGAGGGTGGCTCAGCAAGAGTTCAGCATTGAGCCAGCCTCTGACATATTTATTACTAAAAACTTCCACAAAATACGTATGCATTGAAGAAAACTAAGATACATGCACAAACTATTTTGTGAAAAGGCACAGGGGTGGGGGAGGGGAAGACAGGAGAAAGCTGTTTGTTCCTCTAGAAAATGTAAGAAAGCAAACAAAAATCATCTTATTAGTGAGAAACAAGCACATTTATTTCTCAAAGATTATGCTGCGCAATTCATTAGCTTTGCTGCTTTTTTGGAGAGATTTACTATTCGAGCCTGTCCCACAGCTCAAAATAATCAACCCTTTGTTAAAGGAGTAATCCGACTGGAAACGAGGGAATGCTGGCAGATGGGTCTTCATGCCCTGTTTTACTTGTGAAGTGGAACAGAGTGGGTTTATGTTTTAAAATACAGGTAGAAAGGAAAAAGGCAGATTGCAAATGTGACCCATCAGCTACTTAATCTGTAAAATATGAAATGATGCATAGTGGCTCCCTGCTAGTAACAATACCATAAGGAAGCATATGTTAATTGTTCTTATTTGCCTGAACTTCCACTTTCTCCCCTCCGATTCCATACTTCTGTAGTGATGCTCATATAAAAACGGGATTTTCGTAATGACTCTTCTATCAGCAAGGAAAGCGGGTGGGAATGTCTAACAGGGAGATGGAAATACAACATAAAACTGGTGTTCACACGTGTCAGCATGTAGTTGCCCCACCTGGTGCAGTTTGGCTCCAAAATGTACTAGCATGTGGATTTGTGTAAATTCAGAAGGGGGTGTGTGCTTACGGAGCAACTTGTGCAGCTTTGTAAGTCTGAAGCCTTTTCTTTAAAGCAGCAAGCACTGCTCGTTCAGAGAAGAAAAACAACTTCCCCTTTTTTGTCCTTTGTACGGGGAAGCTGTTGCCCACATGCTATAGCTCCTGAAGGAATTCAGCTAAACAAAGTCAGCCAAGACAAGCCAGAGGCCCCGCACCCCCTTCATGCCTTCCTATTATTCTACACACAGCTTCCTTTCCACTAGCTAGCTGATAGCCTGCAGTTCTGACAA